CTAACTAAACCAAACAATTGCCGAATTGTATTGGGCTATATTATTACTATTATTATTAACTAAATGTTATTTGGCACTAGAGGCAGTTGTTGGATGCCACCTCTTGCTACATTTAATAATTAATTTAGTAGGTTCTGAAAGAAAAGAATTGACCCCGAAGTGGGACTTGAACTTTTGCAACTCCTGCTTACCGTACAGTTGCATTGCCAATTAAACTACCCGGACCTTCGTCCAATCCTCTCTTCCAGAATTTATTAATTTAGATATAACTATTCTCGGTTACTTATGGCACTGGCTGGAGATGACTCGGCATCCACACACTATAACTCCCACTATGGACTCGACCAGCAATAAAATTATAATTATTAAATTTAGCAAGAGATGGCACACAATGCTTGCATCTGGTGCCAAATTACTTAGCATTTAACTAATAATAGTAATATTAATATAGCCCAATATAATATAGGAATCATTTGGCTTTACAAATTAGTACAGGATGTCCAAAAATTTACTGTGCAGTGAGAAATTTGTAATGGCATTAAAGTCATGTATGGCATTGCATACGAGATTCGTAAATCGTACATCCTGCATTTCAACTTTTCAATTGACGGTGTTACTGCTTGTCCACAGACATTCAGTTTTTGGCATAATCTCCTCTGGGATCTGGTCCACTAGGTCTCCAAACCTTACTCCTCTGAATTTTTGGACCTGTGGGGCACATTTCCAGCATTTGATATAGTAGAAACTGCAATATTTTATGTAAAACTTCAACTTTAACCTTTTCCATTGCACAGTAACTTTTCAAACACCCTCTATCTATAGAATTGTTTTTTAACAAATGCTACAAAATGTATACAAAAGAAATGTTTACCATGTCTAATGACAAGCTTTAGGAACTTTAATAGTCATATTTATTTCACTTAACATTATTAGAAAATATAAATGTCTTCTTTTAGAACCAAAATGGACAATGATTATTCTGCTTTCCACAGTATTAAACATTAGTATTGCTGAAAGAGGCAGATTAAGTGGTTGTCGGATCAGGTGGTTTGTAGGCAACACCTTTCAGACAATAAAAAAGGGCATTGTAAGTACAGTACTGTATGTCATGCAAGAAGATACCTATATAAATATATATATATATATATATATATATAATGCTATTGCCTATATCAAAATCAAGTTAATAATCAAATACGGTGGTACTTCAGCAGTACTTGACCAAACAATCACAACCTGTTAGAACAAATTTGCAGTTAATAACAAATATTTTAATTTTAATTTTGTCATCAGTAAAAAAATTTTTCTGTGATAAAAATGAGTGACTGATTTAAAAATAAAAGGAAACCTTAAAGCTCCCTTGGGAGTAAGAAAAAGGCAACCCGACAACAAAGGGGGGGGGCATGTGCCCGAGTGCTCCAATGTACGGGTGCTCTTTTGTAAGGGAACTTGCAAGACCTTTAACTTAATAAATAAAAATACTCATAATTTTTTAAAAATATAACTAGGATGAATGACACAAATGATTTATTACTATTAAAGTATGGCTCCCAGCTTTGTCCCTCCAGAGATCACCGATGTGGAGATAGAGCTTTTCAAAGATTACATGCCAATGCCATTCTTGCCATCATTATGTTACATGACTTCTCCTGCATAAAATTTTCAGATTAAGTTTTTTAATGTTAATTAAACAAAGTATTTTTTAAGGGTTTGGTGTCCTGGGAGAAATCGATCGAGTGCAAGAAGCTTTGACGCTTCAATCTTTGACGAGCAGGAATGTGGCATGGTGAGGAACTCGTGGAAGCAAATGAGAAGCATCGAAAAAACTACAAACACTTCTTCAGGAGAGTTTTCAAGAGATCAAATGAAGAACTTTGCCATTTAGAATTAATTGAAGTAATAATAAATTTTAAAAAATTCTTTATTGATAATGTAATGTTTTATTTTTGATTTAGAAAATTCATCAACATTAGTTTGTTTTTTTATCATTGTTACATTCACTAAATATATCATTTCTCTCCTGTTCCTTAAACACTTTTTGAAGATAAATAAACATTTTTCACCTCCACAAGAAGGATTCAACTATACACGGTACAACAAGCTTTGTCGTAAAACATGCAATTGAATGATTAAGAGAAGGTTTCAAAGATTGAACTGTGTTGATAAAACTGGAATCAATTTAGCACCTTCATCAGTAGTAGATTGCTACCATGTGTGCAATGCTATTAATGAATCCAAGTAAGGGTGCTATCCTTGAATTGCCTAATAAATGATATTCATTAGGTATGAAAGTTTGCTTTTGTAGTATTTGTTGTCAAATGGGACTTAAAGCATATGTGTACTGTGTTAGTCAATTTAGTGGACTCTATGGTACTTCTTTTTTGGTGAGTAAGCCCATACAACAGAAGTTTTCCAGTTATTTTTACCAAAATTAGCTTAATTCTGCATTATTCAAAACATTATTTTTTTTTGTTGCATTTTAGCATTTTGAACAATTCTTTTAAAACAAACAACTCTGTGTGAACTTTTTCTCATACCCATTGTGGGTTCAGCCAGGCCAGAATAGGACAACTGTTTGCGACAGGAACTTGACAAACTGCCATTAAAAAAATTCAGTTGGTTTAAGTTAGTCCTAGTTGTAAGTTAGATAAGGGACTCTTAGCTTGGTTTCCAGTTAGGTTAAATTAGATTAGGGTTGTTAGCCTTAGTTGTCTGGTTAAGTTACAGTAGGTTAGTTTAATTAGTAAGTTTAAAATTAAAAAAAAAAAAAATTTGGGGTCTTGCTCATTTGTCTTCTGTTGGTCTGTTCATCTTGTCTAGTTTGTCGCTGTACTTGTTAGCTGTTAATACTATTAATACTAATAAAACTGAATGCAAATACAAATCTTAAGTAGATATAAGTCTTCCTACTAACAACCACTTGGCACTGACTTCTACACTTAGCTATTTGTGGCAGCACTCAATTATTGGTGTTCGCTACACTCAGATTTTCTTTGACTCTTCGGGGGACTACGGCCTTGCAGCCTAAAAACTGCATTCCGACATCAAATGTAGCCATATGTATGCCGTTCGGAGGGATCCTACCTTTCTCTATTGGCTATCTCCTCCCCCTTCCCTCTTTTCTGCTGGTAAATACCTTGTGTACGGCCAATGTCTTGTATGCATGTATGGTAGTGGCACGTTGAGCCACTGCATAGTTTTACTTTGGTACAATAATTGTCGAAGATTGCAGATATATTGCCTAAATTGGGTTGGCAATTTTAACATACCTCAACTGACATTGACATGAAAAAAAAAAACAGTTGAAAGCTGGAAAAATACTGTGCAAATGTCAAAAAGTAGAGAAAACTTATTGGGCAAAGGATGCCATCCATTATTTTTTATTTTGAATGGCAGTGAAAGTGACTTACTCATTGATCAATTCCAAAACCAACAGTGGCAAATATGATTTTTAAAAGCAAGCACAATTTTACTTATACTAAGTAACATTTTATTTGCTATTTTTCCAAAGCCACAGTTATAAACAAACAAATATTTCATTGTGTAATGCTGCTTGGGATGAGATAGAAATCTGTTAAATAATTAAGTGATGTAAATTGCTACAATAAAGTATTTCTTCCCAAAACAGTCTTACATTGTATCTGTTGGGCTCTGCCCTCCATGAGATGGGTATGGGGTAAAAGAAAAAGGTCCTCTTAGTGTAAATATTCCCTTCCATAACTTAAAAAGCATCACCCGTTTTACAAATAGACCAGTTTAGTTTGTGTGTGCATATTTATGTCAAGGATTTCAGTTAAGTTGACCCATGGACCTCCATAAATTGACATTTGTAACATTGGGTTCCATTTTTAAAGTGAAGCCAGCAAAGGAATACCAATACAAAATTTGTCCTTTCTGGAAAAGGAATAGGCATTAAGTGTGATATTTAAATAATAAAACAAACACTTTTTTTATTTAAAAAAACTGCTTTATTTGTTAAAAAGGTTGTGAGTCTAAGCAGACGAGAAAAAAATATATTTGATTCTTGGCACCGTATTCACTCACACTGAACAATACAATAACATCTTCGTTAGAACATGGTGGAACAGACAGAAAAATAGTTCCCTTGTGTATTTTTTTACAAGATTTTCGATACGAAAACAAGGTGACCCTGTTCAATTTTCGCATGTGAATAAAAATAGTCACATGATTTCTTTTAGCTCTGTTTTTCGAGTATAAAAGGAGATGCTTTTGCTATTGCAGGGAAGGAAAGTGTTAATAAATTAAGTATTTTGAACTAAATACAATTTGAAAATATTAGAGAAAAGACACACAAACAGTGGGTGTACCAGAGGGGAGTATAGTGTCATCTGCCTAGAAAAATACTGCTTTGTTCCAGACGGTCAGGGTCATTTTAAAACCGTATTTATACAATACACATATATTTTTTTATCTATTTATTTATATATATATAATAAATATAGGTATAGATATAGATAAAGTAATATTATATTGCATTTATAGGCATTTTATGTATAAAATACAGCTAAAAAAGTAAAGAAAGATTTGTTTGGGGTCTGGAATGGATTAATTCATTTTACATTGGGAAAATCCATTTCTTATGGAAAAATTTGTTTCTGTCTGAGAACAAATTGGTTTCCCAACAACTTTTAGGAATGAATTAAGTTCATAAACCAAAGTTTGACTGTAATTGAATAAATTAGAAAACCATTAAGGGCAATGAATAGTTTAATGGGTTTGAAACATTTACTTCTGGTGTCAATTGTTAAGCAAATAATTGTCCATTTTTCATTAGTTAAATAGAATCATTCAATTCACACCCCAAAAGCAATCATTTTATTATTTTACATGATATAAAGGCTATAAGGGAAATAGACCTTGCAGTAAGAATATCAATTAAATATAAAGTTATTTTTTCAAAAATTAGTTAAAAAGTGAACAATAGACAGTGCTGAGATCAGCATTGCCACTTCCATGTCATCAACTCATTTATTTATATATATATAATATAATTTTCTATAGGTACAACATACGTCTTAACTTATGCAAATGTTTCTTCGATGGAAACTCGTTCGCTCTCACATGGAAGAAAAACAAATAAAAAGAAAACAAAGTTAGTGTTGACTAGGTATTTTTTTTAAATATGAGGTACTTGTAGAGTGGTAAATGGATGGTGGTTCATTCGACGAATGTCCGGACCAAAAGAGTATTTACGACGAACAATTCGTGACTTTCCGATCACCCGTATGGTGCGTTGCTAGGCAATTGCTTAATTATAAATACGCAATGACTGGTAAACGACGTTTAGGAAAAAATGTCAACGTCGTTTCTTAGAAAAATAATTTTATCGCTTCCTCCTCTGTTCGTATGTTTGCTTTTCCCTGGGTGAACGACATCAAATCGAAGGCACTTTTTAGGAAATTTTTGGCCACGGTAATTGTGCGAAAGTGGTATTTCGTCACACGTATTCTTCTCCAGGTTTGGAATGTCCCGTACTGTTTGCATTGATGGTGTCTGGTAACTCCGCAATGTCTTTGAATACGCCGACTAAATTTTGAAAATTGGGACCCCAATTGAGTAAGTAGTCCCACCCCAACATGGACCCATTAGCAGGTTTATATGACGAAAGGTTGGAAAGATCGTCATCTGATGCCACCAGGGTGCTCAGAGAACCCCGGAAAGAGTCAAAGCCATCGTAAGTCTTGGCAGAATCTTCGTCATTTTCGTTGTCTTCTTCAGCCAGTTTGGAAAAGATCATGTTTCCAGGACCAAAATCCCTCTGCACCTTGTCATAGTTATCGTATTCAAACTCAGAACAAGTAAATGAGTCATTTCCGCTTTCATCTGTGGATGAGTCCGGAGCTTCCAACAGTTCTGTGTTGGTTTCCAAGAGTTCGGCTAGTTTGTTCTTTTCTGGATTGTCGTCACTGGAAGAAGAGACGGCATCCAATGTGCTCACCAGACTAGAGTTTCTTGGCCTCGCGTTTAGTCTTTCGATCTCCTCTGCCGTCAGTCCTAGTGTTATGTTGTTTTCGTTGTTCTTCTTCTTGCTGTTTGATTTTGGTCCCGAATGAATGCTGCTGGTGCTATGACTTAGGTGACTCACCGGACTGTTGAGGCTCCTCTCTGAATTGGTCAGCGGATCTTTGAATTCTTTTGGCCCCACTCCCTGAGATGTCGCTAGTAATGCGGTCTGTAGGGGCTTGCCGCTGATGTCCTGAAGGGTCAGTATTCTGGGTGTCTGTTGAGACAGCTCGCTGGAAGGGCTCAGACGGGCCAGAGGCGTGTTCTGCATTTTCAGAACAGATGGACTCTCCCTTGGGGCTATGGCATTGGGACTCTGACACAGTACATTTCTCGGACTGTCCCTTGATGGCGTTGACTGAAATTGGTGTGGACTATGTCTATGGTTGTGTTTGTGGTAGTTTGGAATGTGTGGGTTCGTTTTATATTTGTGAACATTACCATCTCTGAACCCCTTGTAATGGTAGACAATGTCTATGTCTGAGGGAGCTATGCTGCTGGCATTTTCCAAATCGTAGTGTTCTGGAGGTTCTGAATCTGCTATGTTCAACATGCCAAAGGGTTTGTTGTTATCCTGCAGGGACGAGTCTTCAATCCTGTGTGTGGGTGAAGCAGATGACTTATTTAACACTTCCCTTTCTATGATGTCAGGACGTTGGGGGCGATCGGCAGCCACTTCACGGTCCTTCATCTTCTTGGGCACCAGATCCTGTGACAGATGATTTCTCAGAATGTCTTCAGTAGTGGCACTCTCAGAGTAATTGCCGTCTTGGTGAGTTCTTTGGTTGTCATTATTGGAACCGGTCAGGAAGGCATTTCCGTTCTGTTTGATGTGTCCCGGAGCCTTTTCTCTCCTCAGTTTCCGCCTGCGGAAGACCAAGAAACTGACCAGGATGACCACAATCAGAATGATGAAGAACACGATCACCAGGATGATCCCGATGCTCAGAGGATCAGTCGGTACCACATCCAAACCCAGTGCTTCATCTCCACATCCTCTTTGCACGTTTCCATGAGGAATTAGTTTAAAATATCCATTTGTACTGTTTAATGCTTGAATTTCTTCATTGACAGCCATTTCCTTGACACAACCTTGAAAACCTGTTTCAAAAGTATTAATATTAATACTGGGGCTATAATGATATCATGAAATATTACTAATCAAAGAATTTAAAAAAGAATACAAACCAGCAAAGGTGTGGTCGGATTTTCCTAGATTTTCCAATCGTCCTCCCACCACAAACGAAGTGAGATAAGCATCCAAAAAGTCGTGAGTTGTTTCGGAATCAATCTCTTTCCATCGAGAGTCGACGGTCAGATTGACAGAAGAGCGCTGTCCGGGTCCACGTTCCAGCACCACTCTGTGCCAATTGCCATCGTCGACTCTGGTTCCCTCCATGGACTCGCTGACTTTGTGCTTGGACTCCGTCTCGCTTGCATACACGATCTTCCCTTCGTGGATCTGTAACATTTGAAATACATCAAAGAATGGTCTAAATTCCAGTATAAATGAAATTCTGAAAATGATACTCTAATATTTTTAATCAAATACTCCACAAAACTTGTACAGGTGGTGAGCACCATCTAGTGTTAAGTGATCAAAATAGTTGGTGAGAACTAAATTAGTGGAACATTCTGTTCCACTTGAAGATTGATGATAACTTGCAACCAAGTCAAAATAGAAGATTGTCATCTCTGCTTCTAGCACTGGCATTCTTCTATGAACTACTTATAACAGAATTATTACAGAAATTGCTTTTAGCCCTAGGTGTAATTAAATTAATTAAAATATCTACAACTGTGAGACAGATAAAATAGTAAGCCCTTACTATTTTATCTGCCTTCCAGTTGTAAGTAAATTAATTAAAATATCTATAACAGCTTTAAAGTACATTTATGATGGGACTTGCTACATTTGGCTTACTGTTTTTAATTTCCTTGTTTTGAACGTTTTTTGACTGCTCATTTTGCCACTCGAGGCACTCATCTCGCCCATTGAGCCAGCCTTGCATTTCATTTTCTAGAATGCACAGTACAAAGTGAATTCTCTATTCTTTCTGAAGTCAAATTGCTTTTTTTTGCCACTTTTAGAGAAAGCTATAATTTAATAATTATTGTAGACACAATTGATTTTACCTTATCACACACAATATATCCCACTTATCTATGTTGTTTTCACTTAGAAATGGACTTCTATTATTTGGCAAGAAATCACTACATTAAATCTACTGTATTGGGCTTAAAATCAATGTAACATTTTTTTCTGTCACAAAAAAAAAAAATAGAAATGGTTGCACTGGGAATCAATGGATCATCAAGAATTTTTGAAGTAGTGAAATAAGCGATGGTGGGAGGAGAGCAAAGTGAGAGTTGTGGGGTTGAACTGTCATAAATAGTCTATATTGGAAACAATTGGGCCGACTCTGTGGGGTAAGCAAGCAAATCATAGAACTGGAACATTTTTATGTGGGATCTTAAAAAAAAATGGGACTTTTTTATTCTGGAAGCTGGAGGTGATTCTATGTTTAATTTTAAATTAATTGGAAAAATTTTCCTCCTTTGAGTGTGGAGGTGCATTTTTAAACTCAGAATTAGATGGATGAAGATATATATTATTCATAATGTCTTTGTGTGAAGCAAGTGACGAAGCCCCTAGTAGGTAGGTAGTAGTTTACAGCTTCTTCTTGCTTGTAGTATTTATATGTTAATGTTTTACATTACATTTTAAAACTGATTTACAATTATCAGACTTCACCTCTAATAAGAATTTTGTATGTCCTAAACATGTTAAGTATACTGGTAAGACATACCAAAATTCCATAACAATATGTATTTGAGATGTAAACTATTTACCTGTAAAATGGTGTAGTCATCTTCGGTTGCCACATAGAGTAAGAGTCCATTGTGAGATTTGGTCCGAAACATAAAAGAGAAACTCTTGACATTCTTGTCGGTCACGGGTAAATTCTTCCACTTTTCGTTTTGGTGATGTCCGTTGGCAAACACCTGAACCCTGCGATGCTTCTCTTGAGGTAACAGTTCGATAAAAGAATCGGAGGAACCCAGGAAAAATGGTTCCAAGGCTGCCAAAGGAAAATAACAAAATTAATCTTCTGACTATTATTTTCCATTATTTAGTAGAAACAGACAGCTAATGGAAAAATATGAGTAAATCTAAGGAAGCAAATTAATATAAAATATTATAGGCTATTACTGTGGACGTCCACACGGGAGATAAACGGGACAATTGCCCCACCTGGGATCAAATGAAACAATTCCACAAATTACAATTGTAAAAATGATTGAGATAGATTATAGAATGCAAAAAGAAAGTGTCCCAATATGGTAAGGTTATCTATTTGTGAAAGAAAACCCAAATAAATAAAATTATCTCTCTCCAGGCTTTACCTTCCTGGAAAATTTTCTGCAGATGCCCATGGATATTGCATGTAGTAAAGAATCTTATTCCTTGAATCCTAGCAAATGGTGACAAGAAACTTAAAATTACTGTATTTATTGATATTTATTTTGCAAACTCATTTTAGGTGGATAAATAATCAGTTTTCCATATGAAATTACAATAAATGTTTTTATGTTTAGAATGTGAGGCCAGCCGATTAGGGGTGAGGTGTTTTTGACAGCTGAGCGGTTAATTCTGTCGTGTGGGCGCAGAATGACTCACTGAGACAGGTTTACCATATAAAACCGTTTAATAATATACATAAATCGTTCTTACAACAACCTAATGCGGGCAAGAGCCTATCCCACGATGGGTTTCTGTCACANATCTCTAGGTCAAATTACTTAGCATTTAATTATTTATAGTAGTGGTAATACAGCTCGATCTAATTAGGCAATCGTTTGGCTTTAATATAACTATTAGGCTTGCGGATGCCTATATTTGTATTGATATATATTGAGAGTTATGTTTAGTGTTATAATGTTTTATTATTTTAAATTAATGATGTGTGTAGAATACAAAAATTTCAGCAATTTGAAGACATATCTGTGCGGGGGAATATGGAAAATAACTTAATTCTCTGGTTAAATAAACACAGACTCAACTGCCACTGTTGGACATGCTTTGAAAAAAATTGACAGTGTTGTGCAAAGAATAGGAATGACTTACTGTTTACGTCTACTACAAAGCTACTGAAGGGTTCAATGTCGGAAAATTTCAGGTGACTTTGCCGACTATTCAGTAGGCAAATTCATGATACCAAAATGATTATATATTTTTTTCAGAATAAAAATGAAGATAAGGAGCTTGAGGGATGGGAGAATGGAGGAAGATAGTCAGCCTTCTTGATAGTCACTTTGTATGAACTACCTGTACCGGCTACAACAGTCGGTAAAAGCAATTTGCCAAACCCTCAACGATAAATGTCTAAATGTGGTCTTCTGTCTTTCTTGTAGTTTTTTTTTTGTGTTAAGATTGGAACATGCCAGATGTTTTTGAGCAGAAAAAGGCACTTTACAACAGAAAAACATATTACATATTATTTTTCACCAAAAGAGGATTGGAAGGATAGTTTGACCTGCTCAATCTTTCTGTTTCTGCACACGACACAAACCACTTGGAGTGATTATTTACGAATGGCATCAAAATGCCACTGGGAATATCACATTATTCAAACAGCATGGTGGAAATGAGGACAATAGTATAGCATAACCAAAATAAAATATTTATAGAAGATAAAAGAAAACATTTTAAATTACTGTATTTACTCACATATAAGACAAGGTTTTTATTCATTTATCACAGCTTCAAATTCCTAGGTCGTCCTATACGTGTGAGCGAAAGATTCTTTGCGTTACACAAATAATTTTTACGAACCGTGTATTCACCATTTTTTACCCTCTTGTATTTAAACACACAAGTATTTTATATGGGTCGTTTGAATTGTTATTGTTTATTGTTGGGAGTAAAGATGAATAGCAATAGGAAAAGCAAAGCTTTTGAATTTGAATTCCAGATTAAAATTCCAAAATCACACGGGAGCACAATATAAGTTTTAATCCGTTCCCACGTGAAAACAGATGAATATTCGGAAATCAGAATTCGGAGAAACTCATAAGTGTAATTGACAGAGTGTGATATTCGATTGTTATTGGTAAAAAAAAGGTTCCAGATTGTCCAGCTTTACATGGACAAATTATGTTGTCAATTTTACAAGATTTTTCCTTAAAGTTTAAAATGCCAATAATTTTTACAGGACAATGTGTGCATTTACGTTCATTTGATATTTTATTTGTGATTAAATGAAATAAAATTAGAATTGTATTAAATTAATAAATCTAATTTTCTTTATTTTGATCTTTAAAGTCACATCTTGTTCTATATGCGAGTAAATATGGTATATGATAAAATTATAAGGATTTGACAATGAAATATGCCATAAAACTGAAATGAAAACATATTTCATTGCCATAAACTGTTATATCTAAGCTAGTGGCCATATTCATTTTATAACTTTATATTTCTAGATGGCATTGTATATTTTGTTTGGTTGTCTGATGTGTTGCTATTTGGGAAAAGGAAGTGGAAAAATGACTGAAATGTGTGTAATGAAATATAATCATCTATTTTTTTCATTAACTTACAAAATACTAAACATCCAAACCTGATAGTTATGATTCGGCAATTACTAGTTTTAATATAAATATATATCTGGCTATTTTACTACAGTAGAGCCTCGATTATCCGACCCCCAATTAACTGACCATCCTAGTCGGCAAATTTCAAATGTCCGCTAGTGATGTGGCGCTACAATATTTGGCTATGTCTTGGCTACTTTAATATTATTTTTACGTGTTTTAGCTGGCAACACT